TTGAGCCCCCTGGTCTGTGCCCTCTAAATACATAACTGCACTCCTGCTCACCACAGCAACACCATGGTCGAATTTGCAGACAACAATACAGTGGTGAAGCTCATCCGTCTACAGGGACGAGGTGGAACAATTGACTGCTTGGTGCAGGGGGAACAATCTGGTCCTCAACACCTCAAAGACTAAGGGTGTATTCACACTAGCCCTGTTTAGTCCACTTTAATCGAACTCTAGCTCGTTTTCCTTGAAAGTCTGGCTCGTTTAGGGAGGTGTGAACGCGCCATCGAACTCTGTCACGGAACAAAAAGGCGAACTCTGGCCCGGGCTAAAACCTAGGTCTCGGTCCGGTAGAAGAGAACTCCAGCGCGGTTCGAGTACAGTGTGAATGTAAACAGACCGAGCCCCGCTCCGCAGGGTAAACAAACACGCATTTCTCTGACCTTATATGGAGCCGTCAGCTGCCTTGTGTGAAAAACAATATTCTCCATGGTCTTCTGTCTCATCTTCTGCTCATGCTAAGTCCATTTTTGAAAAATGACAAAATATAACTCCTAAAACTGCTAAAACTTGATGCCACTTCGTTTTTATTTTTTATTTACAGACGAAGAAGAAGACGTGTCTTCAGAGGTTTTTGTGTCCTTTCTTTCAGTAGTTCTTGGTGCAGCGCCCACACAGGCGAGCGGGGGAATAGGTTGGTTCAACAGGTTGACTCGACTGCACAGTGCAGTGTGAATGCAAACGCACCAGCTCAAATGTAAACAAAAGCTCATGAATATTGGTCCCGAACCGAGTATACCAGACTATCTAGTGTGAAAACGACCTAAGACTGCATTCACACTAGCCCTGTTTAGTCCGCTTTAATCGAACTCTAGCTCGTTTTCCTAGAAAGTCCGGTTCGTTTGGGGAGGTGTGAACGCACCATCGAACTCTGTCACGGAACAAAAATGTGAACTCTGGCCCGGGCTAAAACCTAGGTCTCGGTCCGGTAGAAGCGAACTCTAGCGCGGTTCAGTGCAGTGTGAATGCAAACAGACCGGACCCCGCTCCGCAGGGTAAACAAACACACATTGCTTTTACCTTATATGGAGCCGTCAACTGCCTTGTGTGGAAAAACAATATTCTCCATGGTCTTCTGTTTCATCTTCTGCTCATGTTAAGTCCATTTTTGAAAAATGACAAAATATAACTCCTAAAACTGCTAAAACTTGATGCCACTTCGTTTTTATTTTTATTTACAGAAGAAGAAGAAGACGTGTCTTCAGAGGTTTTTGTGTCGTTTCTTTCAGTAGTTCTTGGTGCAGCGCCCCCACAGGCGAGCGGGGGAACAGGTTGGTTCAACAGGTTGACTCAACTGCACAGTGCAGTGTGAATGCAAACTCACCAGCTCAAATTTAAACAAAAGCTCATGAATATTGGTCCCAAACCGAGTCTACCGGACAATCTAGTGTGAAAACGACCTAAGTCAGTTCCTGATCATCGACTTCAGGAAAAAGAAAAAGCACACCTGATTATAAGTGGAGACAGTGTGGAGAGAGTAGCTGACTACCGTTTCTTGGGAGTCCATATTGAGGGGAATCTGATCTGGAGCATGAACACCTCTGAGGTGCTGAAAAAGTCCCATCAGAGACTCTACTTCCTGAGAGTGCTCAGGAGGAACAACATCACCCAGAGACTGTGTTTTTCTACCGATGCTCCATAGAGAACATCTTAACATACTGCATCATTGTGCTGTATCTTAGCTGCACAGTGGCTCAGGGGAAAGCGCTCCAGAGAGTTATCAACACAGCTCAGAAGATCATGGGCTGCTCTCTTCTCTCACTGGAAGATCTACAAAGTTTCCGATGTGCAGGAAAAGCCCACAACATCTTAAAGGACTGGTCTCACCCTGGACATGATCTGTTATAACTGTTACCATCAAGGAAACAGTTCAGATCAATAAAAACAAGAACAAACTAATTTAAAAATTGTTTTTATCCATCAGCTGTTACTGAGCTTAACAAAAGCTGTAATAAGAACTGGATAAGTGCAATATGGGACAACTAGTGAAATATCAAACTGCTTGTGTTGCTTATTTGTATGTTTAAAATATGTAACTATTACTTTTTACAGTTTTTATATATATATATATATATATATATATATATATATATATATATATATATATATATATATATATATGATTAGGTATGCACAATATTATCGGCATGGTATTGGCCAATACTAACATTAAAATTCAATATCAGACATCGGCCAATCCACTAAAATAACTCGCTGATATAAAAGGCGCTGTTTTTGCCTGCAACAGCACAACACGATGTTGTTACGTGTCTACCCCATCTCACGGCGGAGAGGAAAATTCAAAATGACGGTGGTGTGGAAGGTTTTTTTTTTCGTTGGTGAGGATGTCGGATTCTGAAGATTTATGGACTGTTGAGCCTCGCTACATCGTCCGCAGTCAGAGATATTTTTTCCAACATAACATTACCCGAGTTACAAGCCGTCATTTCCAACATCATTGAGAAGCTAATAGCCGATAGCACTTAGGTGAATTTTACCACAGACATTTGGACGTCATGTTAGCCGTTTTAGCATGATTAGTCTTACAGAAAAATGGATAGACAAAAACTTTGAACTTAGAAAGGTTGTCCTTCATGAACACAAGTGCAGAGGATCCCACACTGCAGCTAGGAACCTGGAACAAGCCTCCACAAGTGAGACAGCATCACAGGTGACTAATGCTAATAAATAATATTTAACACTTTTCATTTAATATAAGTTAAAGTGCTATACATATCATATGGCTGTTACTGAATATATGTCACCAGCTCTTACAGCTGTTGCACAAGTTTTGTAGCAAATAAGCCTGAATAAGAGGGCTATGTTCTGACAAAGGAACATATATGCAATATCGGTATCAGCATCGGTTATCGGCCGAATAAGTTTTAGCATATCGGCATATCGAATATCGGCCAAAAATCCAATATCGTGCATCCCTAATATATATAACACTCTAAATTTGTTGTGCTCTGGTGCAATGACAATAAAGGTCTATTCTATTCTATTCTATTCTATTCTATTCTATTCTATTCTATTCTATTCTATGTTTATTTGAAAGTTCAACTAGCAGCAACAGCAGCAGCTAGCTGTAGCATGTCCAGTGCAGTCTAGTTCATTTCTGGCAGGAATGTCATTTTTCTGTCAAAATAACCTTGTAATACAAAACTAAAGATTGCATAAAGAATCAGAAGAGGTACTCACATGAATCACTATAATCCTTTAACACTGAAGTTGTCTTAAGGCAGCAGAAATCCACTTTAGTCGTCTTGAGTTGAACTGACAAGTTAATGGCTAGTCCTGAGCGAGGTAGTTGCAGAGTAGATTGCTGCCATGTTAATCTCCAGTCTCAGAGTCATAACAGTAAAGAGAACACTATTTCATAAACCTTTACAAGACCCTCAACATCTTGTTAAATCCTTAATATAGATGAAAAATACATAGGCCTAAAGGTTACATCAGAAATGACAATGTGCTGCTGTCCTTGCAAATAACAATAAATATGAAATTATCAACTATGTAAATGTACAGCAATATATGTGTGAACCATGCAGTGTTTCAGATTTTAGCAGTTTTGAGGCAAAATAATCAACTATGGACTTTTCAGCTCGTGACCTAGCTAGCTCATGAATCCAGTCAGAATTAAACTCTGCAACTGAAGTTGTTTAAAAGCTTAGCACAACGGATACGTTATTATTTGTTCAGCCCATTTCTAAAGATCTGAACAGTCACATGCAAAATGACGATGGATGCAGTGAGCCCTTTCCAATTCACTCGTTAAGTTTTCTTGTATTAAGAAGAAAAAAATCTCTGCCTGACTGTAGTCAGCAATGAATAAAGCTACTTTAATAGCAAAAACTGGTCTCTCTTTAACAACAATGACGTTTATAAAATCAGAAGGTCCTCTTGGTGTCAACCATGATTTTTGATACATTTGCAGTAAATTATCAGTCCTACAGTTTGATGATGATGATGATCTACTCCACTGCAGTTGCTATCTAAGGATCTCTAGTGCTGCTCAGCAAACCAGCTACCTGGAGTCTTTACGATACGACAGCCTGTTGAAATAAACACAGGCTGCCATGGTCAGTGAAATTAAGAAACGTACTACAGGTCTGTGAAATGATGCTGAAGCCACTGGTTTGTGAATCTGTGTACTGAATGCAATACAGAAAATAAAAAGTCAAGAATTAAACTAGAGTCAACTGTTTTGCATGAACGCAGCATGGTGCAGCACCTTTTAATTCACAAAATAGGCTCAAAGTGCTGTCATAGAAGGGGGGGGGGGGGACAACATTCACCCGCATGATGATGATGATGATGAGTGTTGGCCTGCGTGCAGCAGAGTGACAGACATGAGAGACTGCTCTGTCTCCTCCTGGCTTTGCTGAAAACACAGCGAGTGGCTCATTTAAGACAGAAGTGGTGATGCAGAGGAGGTGTGTGGGGGGAGGGGGTGAAAAGAGGGGGGGGGGGGGGCTGCTGCAGTCAACCCGTAGATGGAATAATCTGGCTATAGTATAGGAGGTTGGTTGGTGGGGGTGGGGGGGATGATCCACTGTAACATCCATTCTCAGTGTGTGTGTAAAAAAGAATGAGGCACACACACATTTATACAGAGAGAGAAGAGTGAGCCATTTCAAAAGTTAGGAGATCATAGTGTCATATGATGGTGCAGAGAGGAAGAGCTTTCATGAGCTCGTGCGCTGCGTCCCCAAACCTGTGCTCACCCCAACACAGCTGCACTAAATAAGTTGGGCACCCCTCCCTCCCTCTTTCACCTCTGCAGGATCCGCCGGCTGCATAGACACGATGGCAGATCCATAACACCCCTCCAACAAACCAGCAAACAAAACGCAGATAGCCGTTCACGCGCACATCCAGGCAGCTCACGCACAACGCTTGGAAGAGTCGCAGGCTGCCTGTGCGTGAGCTTCTATACTCACCGCTTGGATTCTTGTTTTTCTTCAGACTCTTTCCACAAAGACACTGCAGCATATGCGTTCCTTTGCTGAAAATGTTCCAAAGAAACCACATTGATTTGAGGGAAGAGCAATCCAGCGGCTTAAACACCCAGATGTGCATGAGATCCTTGCGGTTGCATAATAAGAGCACAATTGGATCAGTTCTCCAGAGCAAGGCTACCAGTTGGATCATGGAACAAAACAGGTACATCCAAGTCCTGTGCGCTTTCATTCATCTGACACACACTCCCTCACACACGCACACACACAGATGTATAAAAATATTCAGCCTCATCAGACTTGATGATAACGGCGTGTGTCTTCAGCTGCCTCCTCAACTAGTCTTGGACAGGAATACTCCAGAAATGGCATGAGTTTCACCGGCACGAGACGACGCGCCGGGAAACAAACACAACTAATGTGAGAGGAGCCAAACCACGGTGGATTTCCGAGGATAAAACCATTGCCTATTAGTTCATCACTCTGAGGAGAGAGGAGGGAGGATCTGCACAGCATCAAAAGCCAGAGGAGGATACATCCTAGGTGCACGCACTGCTGCAACGACAGCCCCAGCGAAACATCAGGTCCAGCACGCAGCGTCTCCGCGTTTCACGCCAACAGATGAGAGGCGAGGACACAGGACAGCAGGCTCATTCTGAGTCTCTCATCGCGGCTGTCCCTCGCTGCAGCGTCTCTCTTACAGCCTGTTTCGGTGTGTGCATGCGTGTGCGCGCGCGCCCGCTTTTTTCATCACTGTGCAGCTGACATAAAGTGCGGTGCGGCTCATGGAAAACATGTGCATGGATTTCCTTTAACGTCGGAGAAAAAAAGAAAGAAAAGACATATATACATATATATATATATATATATATATATGAAAAGGAAGAGAAGGGGTTACATAAAAAAAACTGCCATGTGTTTTCTGTGCAGTCATATCTAAGATACTCTGATATTTATTTATTCATTTATTTATTTATTTATTTATTTATTTTAGTGATCCAACTCAGACAGACTGTCCCAAAAGGTCTGCTTATTTTCCTTCTGGACATATGCACCTCCTGCACCTCCAGATGCAGGAAGAGGGTCACCTGCATCATGAAGGACCCCACTCACCCAGCACACACACTTTACCACTGGACTGAGGAGCAGCTTCTACCCTGAGGCTGTTAGACTCATGAATCTCTAACCAGAATAATCACTGTGAAAAATCACATCATGTTGCTGCAGATCTGTTTCAATGTTGATGTGTTCATTCGTGCTCATCTGCTCACACAGACTCATGTTCATGTTTGTGCTGCTGTTCGACGTAATGTTTTTATGCTATTAGTGATTAGTGGATTTTTAGTTGATGTTTTTCTTAGTTCATACCTTAGATGCTATCATTGTTTTTCTTTTACATTTTTATTGTTGAATGTAACTGGGACCCTGTGTATATAATTTCGTTCCACCACATGTACCACATGTGGTGCAAACGACAATAAAGAATCTCAGACTCTGATATGACCTTTCTTTATATTTGCAGCTTATATGCTTAAATCATCTGAATCCTCAAATTGCAAAACAATAACAAATACATAAGTCACATGTGGTTCTCACTGGAGATCCCAGTAGAGATCCCACGGGTCATCGAACAGCAAGGTCTCTGCAGAGTTTTAAGCAAGAAAAATACATGTATGTGTGTTGTTCAGTGGGATTCTAAGTAAAATTCTTCATGTTTTCTTGCACTTTTGTTACCAACAAGCTGCAGTCCAAGACCAACTGTGTCACCAGTGTGTCCTTTTGAAAACCAGCAATAAATGAGGCCACAGCCTTTGTCACTGCCATGTGTTGTAAACCAAAAACTTTGACAAACACTAATTTAAATGATGTGTGCATCTGTCAGACATAAATCGCACTGTTCTTACTATGTCATAATAACTAACATGATTATATCAGTATTAATAATAAAAGTCAGGGTTACTGCATTTTGATCTTCTGTCAAATGTTTAATCAGGCTCAAAAATATTGATCATTGTTTGGTGAGAAAGAAAATAATGTTTTGGCTTTGTTTTTGTTCTTTCGGGCCTCATCATGGGAAGCCATTAGTGTTGCACATAGGGACTGTTTCCATCATGACTTTTCTCCAAAGAGCTGAAAATGTTCCATCACAGATGAAAGGAAAAAAGACAGCGTTCTTCCCCCAATCATGTCTGACCTTACTACACAAAGTGATGGAGCGAAACACATTCGTGCGATGATAAACTCCCAGAGGAACTGAGAGTAACAGAATTCAACAACTCAGGATAAACGGTAAGTCTTGTTTATTTATAGGGGGCACCATGAAGATCTGCAGAGGATGGAAAGTATGGTTCCGAATAATGGAGAGTCGCAACTAATATTAAATATTGTATATTTTCTTTACATGTTGTGGTCCAATAGCACAGAGAGGAAGGCGAAAGATTCCAGGTGTGTATGTCAGCAGGATTGGAGATGATGAGGCAGCGGGTGGTTTGTTGACAGGCAGTCTGGCAGGCAAGTGCAGCAGGAGTTCCAGGACAGTACTCAGCTTGAAGACACTGAGAAGACCAAATGAGTCCAAGGAGATCCTTCAGGAATCACACTAGAAGTGTCAGAGAAAATCTGGTAAGTATAATTGTAATTTTTAGGAAAAGTCAAGAAAGTTATCACAAATACTGGTTGGTATCCAACGGAGAAGACAACACGTCAGCAGTCCTTTATGACCTTTGTTACAGGAATTGACCACAACTGCTGCTCATGGGTTTTAAGACTTTAAATTATTCTAAAAAAGTAAACTAATAAACAACTGAGGAACAAGTCCTCTAATTTAAGGTTTAAAAGGTTAAGAAAAGTCAAATAAGTTATAAATGTACTTTAAATCTAAGTTAATGGTGGTTTTAATTGTATTTCTGGAACATTGTTTACAAGTTAAGTACAATGAAGTGACATGAAATCAGTTTGCGCTGATTGTAAGGTGGAGACTGGCTGCATTTTCAACCAGAGTCAAATAGATGAAGCCTCCTTCATCCAAGTTTTTTTGTTTGTTTGTTTTTTAACAGCAATATAATTATTTGTTTGTGTTAATGTTTTTATGGTTTCCAGTCATGTTTTTATGTTTCAGTTCAGAAATACAGAGCACTGCTGACTAGGGATGGACAAAAAGATCTTTGGGGCAACACTTCCACCTATTGCGAAGAGTTGCCAACAGCTGACCAAGTGTGAAGTCTGAATGTCATGGAGGGTTCAAATGCAAACATTCATTCTAAACTGCACTGGACTACGTAGCTGCAAAGGTGAGCGTTTGGTCAGTTTGTCTGGATGACAAGTATACAATACCTACAGTCCCATGGACTGATTGAATTAAAGGGCAAGTGAGACCATCTCACTGCTGAACTCGAGAGAGGAGTCCATTGGGGAGCACTGCCTGATCACACTCTACAATGACCAAAAATGTACATGACATTGTTTTCTACTTTTGGAAAATTGTAAGTATGCTGCTGTTAACTATCACTGGACCAGAATGTGCATATAACTGAACATGCAGCTGAACATTTAAGTATATGTGTATGCATGTAACCCCGCCCCTCGCACAGTGATTCCTGGACATGGGCACCGGCGACCCCCGTGACCCAAAATGGAATAAGCGGGTAAAGAAAATGGATGGATGGATGGATGGATGCATGTATGTATGTATGTATGTATATATATATATATATATATATATATATATATATATATATATATAT